ATAAAAAGGAACTCTACTGACGAGCAATCTTAATATTGTATTAAAAGATATAAAAGGTCTTTACTGACGAGCAATCTTAATTTTGTACTAAAAATAAAAAAGGACTCTACTGACGAGAATTTTTTTTTGTTGTATACTGGAGTATAAAAAAGGGACTCTACTAACGAGCAAATCTAATTCCGATATATTAGAAAAGGGGCTCTACTGACGAGCAATCTAAATTTTGTACTAAAAGATATAAAAGGACTCTACTGACGAACAAATTACATTTCGAACAAGATAATAAAAAGGACTCTACTGACAACCAAATCTAATTTTGATCAAAATAATAAAAAAGAACTCCACTAACGAGCAAACTGAACATTGACATAAAACAATGAGCAAAGTGTATGTTTTACCTTACCGATAAAACAATAGCAGCAACTTCCAACAAAACTCTGGCATCCTGCGAGTCCACCAACACATACAATGCCGCCAAAAGTTCACTCCTTTTAGATCTCTCAAAAGTCTCCTGCTTTCGATGTTCGGCCCTGATTTCTACCAGAGCCCTCACTAACAACTCATCTGGTTCAGTGTCGCCTCTTTTTGATAACAGAAATCTGGTCAGATCTGCACTTGACCAGGATTCGATGGAAGTTGAAGGTATCTGGATAATAAATGAGTTAAGTGGGATATTTGTGTTTATATTTATATTAATATGTTTACCTGAAATTCTTCATAAGAACTTGAAGCGCATTGAAACAGTTCCGATTTCTTGAACACGGCTTTGCCTTGAATGCCGTTTGTCAACGGACATCGTCCCAAAGCTTGAGAACATATTAAAACTAATTAAACAATTTTTTTTAATTTATGATACTATAAATGTATTTGCCTGCAGTTTCTTTATTAATGATGTAGCTTCTTGATAACGTAATATAATTATTAAATTCATAAAGCTTTTTTGCTAAAATTTATAGATCATATCTCGAGCCGTGTTTCTGTTTTTTTTTTTCAATTTTAATTCAAGTTTTATTTGAAAAAATGTACCTGGTGCCGTTTTTGGAGGCTGTGGTGCCAAAGATGGTAAATGATCACGTTCTTGGCTCGAAGTTGATTGTACACGAGGTAAACTATTGCTCTAGAAATAAATAAATAGATAAATAATTTAACCCTTTCCACTCCGGATGCCGCCGCTCCGGAGGCAAAATGCATATAAATCACGCATTTCGCAAGTGGAAAGGGTTAATATACAAATTGTCCTAGACCTTAACGTCAACTGGGTGATTACATTTATCGTAACTATTTTGAATATTTTTTTATTGTCTTTGTAAACTACTAGTACATTGACCATTGAAAAAAGTTATTTTTTGTAGTTTGAAAATTATGAGCCTTGGTGAAATTAAGCTTATTTTTTAGTTTTGTTTTGGAGTTGCTCGTCAGTAGAGTTCTTTTTTCATCTATTATATTTGTAAAATTAGTTTGCCCCTCATTGGAGTCATTTTTTCTGATATATATTATAACATTGTTTTGAATTCAATTTGCTCGTCAATAGAGTCCGTATTCAATTTGCTTGTCAGTAGAGTCCCTATTTTACATATCTTCTAATACAAAATTAAAGTTGCTCGTCAATAGAGTACTCTCTTGTATTCTCGATAGATTTTAAAACTTTTTGTTTTAAATTTAAGTTTGCTCGTCAGTAGAGACCTTTTTATATTCTCTATCGAAATTAAGTTTGCTTGTCAGTAGAGTCCTTTTTAAATCTTCTAGATCAAAATTAATGTTTGCTTGTCAGTAGAGTCCCTTCATATTTTCTCGATCAGTAGAGTCTCATTTTTATGTGCTCGAACGAAATGAAGTTAACTCGTCAGTAGAGTCCTTTTTTCAACTTTTTGGATGAAATTACCTTTCCTCGTCAGTAGAGTCCTTTATCTTGTAGTGCAAAATTAAGATTGCTTGTCAGTAGAGTTCATTTTTATTTTTTAATAGAAATGAAGTATGCTCATCAGTAGAGTTCCTATTAAGTTTACTTGTCAGTAGAGTCATTTTTATATACCAGTACATAAATTAGGTTTGCTCGTCAGTAGAGTCCTTTTTTATCTTTTAATACAAAATTAATATTGCTTATCAGTAAAGTTTCTTTTATAGATTCTAGCTCAAAAATAAAATTGTCTGTCAGTAGAGTCATCTTTTAATCTTCTAGATAAAAATTAAAGTTTGCGTGACAATAGAGTCCTTTTACTTATTTTCGAATGCCATTAGGTTTGCTCGTATGTAGAATCTCTATTTAACTTGCTCGTCAGTAGAGTCTCTTTTTTATCTTCTAGTACAAAATTACGGTTGCTCGTCAGTAAAGTCCATTTTATATTTTCACGAATAATACTCACTCTTGATTTTAAAGACAGTGGTTCCAAATTTCTTGCCGACAATGTTTCGAATTGTAAATTATGTAAACTGAAAAATTGATTGAAAAAATTAATTGAAATCACTAACAATAATTTATAATAATATTATCATTTTATTAAGGTTACCTGACGGCACTCGGTGGTCTTCCTGGCGGCGCCCCTTTTCCAAACAAGGCCCTATTTGGAGCCCTAGGCGTATAGGGCCTGCAAGTGTCTACGAGTTTAGTACCTCCTGATAATGGTAAAATATTAGATTTATAAATAAATAATATTAGAGTTTTGGTCTTTTATGGGCATATTCTCAGATATTGCAATATCACTCTTATTATCAAACTGTTACTACAACTGTAATAGGTACTCTCGAACGACAAACTTTGCACTTATTTCCTAACTTTTACGAAATGCCTTAGACGAGTTCGTACAATTTGGATGCCAAACGATTCAGAACGACTAGAACGAAGGAATAATGTTATAATTACTACTCTATCTAAAATTTTGTTATAACATTCTTGTATTTCTTATTTGTATGTAAAATACGCCTGATAGACGACATTTTCACACTTCACTAACAAAAAACAATGTATTGAGTCGTATTCGGGTTTATCATTAAAATTCTTTACGACTTATATTTTTACCTTGAACATCCTGGATGTGCTGCTTGGCCTCTTTAATGATCTCTGCACTAGTTCTTCTTGTTTTTGTAATTATACCGGGAAGAATATTTGTATCTTCCATTTTTTAAAGAACAACTTAACCGCTTTAACTATAACTCTCACTTAAAGAAACATCCAATCACATAATTGATAAATTTTGCATCAGACAGAAATCAGACTCTATAATCTTATTATTCTCGTTCTCTTATCTTACTGTAAGATAATAAAACAAAAATTCATGTCTATTTGTCCCTTTTTAAAATAACAAGTATCCAGTAAACTATTGGCGACAGAGACAGTACGTGATTTAACACTTCTGTAACTCTTGGATTTTATAATCGTCTTTATATGCACATGTGTTATTAAATTTAAATAGTCCTTTATTGGTTATTCTGCCAGGACATTTCCTCTATACTATTTTTATTCAGCCTCAGACACTACATTCAATTTTACTCTTTAAACTAATTCCAAGGGTTACTATAGGACTTTATAACTCAACTACGTATGCACTTTTTATTAAATTAAAATAATGTATTATTATTTATCCTGACAGGATTTTTCCTGAGCTTGACAAACTATTGATGCACTTTTTATTTATCTTCTGACACATTTCCAATAAGTTTCCGATTGGATTCCGATAATCGCAATTGCGTTCTAGTTAGATTCTTGTATCGGTTTGTTTGTTGGTGCTAATTTGGTTGCTAGGATACTAAAAGGTTATAATGACGTGATAATAGATTTATATACAGAAATTAGCGAGTCAGACTCGATAATTATAGATTAATTCAAATTAGTACATATTTTTTAATTTGTTTATATTTATTTTTAACTTATTATTCACTTCCCGTAGGGTAAATTATTGCATATCTTCACGTTTTGAAAGTTTCTGAGCATTTTGACACACCCCAGAAAAAATAAATGTGTTTTTTGTATAGAGAAAGAAATGCATTCATACACCCAGACTAGGTCTTTTGTCTAGGTATGTCGGACTCAATACCACCTGGGTATAACACAGACTAAAACATCAGCTTTGCCTTTGCTTCCAGTCGCACAGAAACCGCCATTAGGCATTACTTCGTAGGGGGGGCTCTAGAATGTTATCATTCTTACCTTGATTTTATACTTATTTTTTAAATGAGCATAGTCTCATTCGCCCTTTAGATGTGTGTGGATACGATTTCTCGTCCACCTTTTTCGAATGATTTGAATTCAATTGACATTGAATTCCTATTTATAGGCAGATGATTTAAAAAGCATTCGATTTGTAATGACGAGGAGAGGTGGTGATTAGTTTTCGCAGGGGCAGGTCCAGCCGTTTCGCAGATACCGAGATAAATGTGCAGAAAATTGCAGTTTTTGAGAGAACTAAGTATCCGAATCAAAAAACTTTATGCTTGTGTTGACGAAACGATTGTTCTTTGAGATTTTTTTTTATAATTCAGATTTTCAAAATTTTAATTCGGTACGGAAAGTTCTAGCAATTTGCCTCGAGACACGTTGCCATACACCACTAGTTTATTTAGTATCCATGCATAAAATGTTAATAAACATTTAATAACATTAAAATAAACATCATAAATTCATGAATATGAATACATATTGACAAGTATTATAAAGAAAATTCACGATAAATAATTATAAACAAATATTTTAACATGAAATTTGTGACTTGTAATAAACTGCATTCTTTGTTAAGCTTGCTTTTTTCGGAGATTCATTAATGCTTATATTTTATAATTAATCAATTTATAATTGCATCTTTTTTGACACATATTCAAATTTGAATTTTACCGCTTTATTTTTTCTTTTGACAGTTCTGTTTTACTACCAACTTCACTCTGAAAGAAATGTCAGCGCATCATGTACACGTTTTTTGAGGTTATAATATAATAAATACATTTATAAAATGTTTTTAAGGATTTATAATTAAAGTATTTGAATTAAACTAAACTTAAAGTATATATTTAATCATATTTATTGTTTGTTTATGTGAAATTTGGTTTTAAACATGGTTGTTTTGTGCTCTACAAACTGTTCTAGAAATGCTGTACTAAAGGTGATAAATTATTAAATATTATTTTATATATATATATATATATATATATATATATATATATATAATCAGAACAATAATTTTGTTATTTATTTATTTGCTCTTATAAACTAATACATTAGTCAAAGATGATTTACTTTATAAAATTCTCTTCTTGTGCAGAAAGTTCTTTCTACTTTTTTTAGTAATTAATCTTGATTATTAGATTAATATTAATATGTCGATCTTTTATCAGAGGCCTAAAACAGGAGATGCCCTCTGCAAAGAATGTTTCTACTGGGCTTTTGAAACAGAAATTCACAGCACGATAGTCAATTCAAAATTATTCAAACCGGGTGATAAGGTTGCAATTGCAGCATCCGGTGGAAAAGACTCCACTGTGTTAGCATATGTTTTAAAAGTACTTAACGAAAGATTTGATTATGGATTGAATTTGGTTTTGCTTTCTATTGATGAAGGAATAACAGGTAAAATAATAAACTAGCTGTAAGTGGAATTCTGTCTTAAGGCAATTAAGGCATCGTGCCTTAAGGCAAATTGCTGGAACTTCCCGTACCAAAAATTATTTTTTTAAAAACGATTAACATTTTTGAAAAAAATTTACTTCGAAAAAATAAGATTTTTGACAAACAATTAGACAAAAAATTACTTTTTTTTGAAAAAAAAAATTTTTTTAATTTTTTTTTTTTTAATTTTTTTTTTGAAAAAAAAATGTTTTCTTTATTTTGACATATTTTGAAAGATCTAAACTTTTTTTCAAAGCAATCGTACTGCTTTAACTGCATAAAGACGAAATATCAAACCGCGTAAGCTCCGCGTCGACGTCTAACGCGTAAACATTGGTACGGAACCCATAGGAATGTAAACCAAAATTATACTTATTGTTAAAATCTCTATAAAATATCTGATAATTTGATGTGCATATGTCTAATGATCATTTTTGACCGCCAAATGGCATTTTTTTTTACTTTTTTCATTAGATCTCCGAAACCGCTAGACCTGCCTTTATGAAAATTTGACCGGTTTTTTACCTTGTCAATAAATACAAGTAAAATGTTTTTTGAAATATTAAAATCAGACGCTCCGTTCTCTTAAAAACTGAGTTACCGTTTTCGGCACTTTTTGCCCCGTATCTTCGGAACGGCTAGACCTGACTTCGCCAAAAACTAATCAGCACGTCTCCTTATCAATACGAATCGAATGTTTTTTGAATTATTCAAATCGGTTGATCGGTGTTCCCGAAATCGTCGACGAAAATTTGTATCCGCACACACATACATACTACGCACACACACACACACACACACATACATCCATTTTTTCTAAGGTATGCCAAAATATTCAGAAACCTCTGAAACGTAAAGATATATAAAAATTTTCATTTTCGATTTTTTTGCGATTACTATAACTTACCCTACGGCAAGTTAATTAAATAATTCATTGTAAGAATGCAATTAATTGTTTTTTTTTTAGGTTACAGAGATGATAGTCTTGAAACTGTCAAAAAGAATGCTGAAGACTATCAAATGCCTTTAAAAATTTTATCTTACAAAGACTTGTATGGGTGGACAATGGATGAAATTGTAGCAAAGGTAATATATACTTCAAATATAAATATTTGTTTATTGGATATAAAACTTTTTTACTATCATCTATCTAGATTGGTAGAAAAAATAATTGTACATTCTGTGGAGTCTTCAGACGTCAAGCCCTAGACCGAGGTGCTAAATTACTAGAAGTTGACTGTATTGCAACTGGTCATAATGCTGATGATATTGCTGAAACTGTTTTTATGAATATACTACGAGGTGATTTGGCTCGGCTGCAGAGGTGCACTGCAGACATAAGTGTAAGTAAAATCTTAATAATAATAAACAATTAATAACTGTATTATTTATATTTATATTCATATTTAAATTGAAAAATTTCATAAGAGATAAATGAAATAAATGAGATAAAATTCCTTATTTTAAACAGTATATTACTTCTGTTCTGTTAAAATATTAATTACAATTAAGTATAAGTACTTATGTATGTACACAAGCGTTCTGTGTATATATGTGTATATAATAGTAATAAGTAAAAATATATAGATGTCTTAATATAAGTCTGTTACATAAAATATAGATTTATCTTTGTTATAATTGCTGTGATCTCTCATACCAGAACAATTGTCTGACTGAGATACAGTATGTACGAATTAAATCAAATAAATAAATAATATATATATATATATATATATATATATATATATATATAAAATAAATAAATATCTCATTCACTCTTTTTAGGGTGGAGAAAGTTCCATTTCAAGACTCAAACCTTTGAAGTACACGTATGAAAAAGAAATAGTCATGTACGCCCATTTTAAAAAGTTGATATACTTTTCAACAGAATGCATTTTTTCACCGAATGCATACAGGGGACATGCTAGGGCTTATTTGAAATGCATTGAGAAAATTAGACCGACAGCTATTATGGATATTATACACTCAGGTATTAAATGATATATAAATTGTTATGTGTGTTCATATAACTTTCTTGAGATTTTCCTTGAATTTTTCAATTGCAACTTGCCTGTAGGCCAAACCGTGCGGAATTCTAAGTTGTGATATATGGGAAAAAAACTAAGAATTTTAAGACCTTTCTAATGATGTATAACACTTTATATGGTTTCTTTACAGAAATATGAAATAGTGTGACTTGTTTCTCAAATCTAACCTAACTAACCTAACCTAATAATACTTTGCATATGAACAATTGAATATTCACACAAATTCAATCTAAACCGTAAAAGATACGAAAAAACTTTATTCGTACGAAAGATGCAGAATAAAATTACGAATAAAATGATATATAAAAGGTTAAGTGTGTTCATATAATTTTCTCGAGATTTTCCAGTTTTCCTTTGAATTTTACCATTGCAACTCGCCTGTAGGCCGCACCGTGCGGAATTCGAAGTTGCCATATATGGGAAAAAACTGGGAATTTTGAGACCTTTCTAACGATGTATAATACTTTATATGGTTTCTTTAGAGAAATATCGAATATTGTGGTTTGTTACTCAAACCTAACCTAACTTACCAAACTAACCTAACCTTACCGTACTTTGCGTTTGAACAATTGAATATTCACACAAATTTAGGCTAAACCGTAAAAGATACGAAAAAACTTTGTTCGTACGAAAGATGCAGAATAAAATTACGAATAAAATGATATATAAATTGTTAAGTGTGTTCATATAATTTTCTCGAGATTTTTCGAGTTTTTTTTGAATTTTAACAATGCAATTTGCCTGTAGGTCACACCGTGCAAAATACAAAGTCGCGATATATAGGAAAAAAACTAAGAATTTTGAGGCCTTTCTAACGATGTATAATACTTTATATGTTTCCTTTACAGAAATATCGAATATTGTGACTTATTTCTCAAACCTAACCTTACTTTACATTTCTATACTTGAACGACTTGAATTTCATTTATTTTTTTTGTACTATTTTTATTTTTATTTATTTTTTGTACTATTTTTTTTTCAGCCGAATCAATGGGTTTCAGCGAGACAATCAGTTACCCTAAACTAGGTACATGTACCCGGTGTGGTTTTGTATCATCCCAAGAAGTCTGCAAAGCCTGTGTGCTTCTCGAAGGCTTAAACAAAGGTTTACCAAAACTTGGTATAGGAAAGTCTTCGAAAGTCAAAAAAGCTTTGGAACAATTTGATGATACCACAGAAAATGCTTCGTCGTGTGGTAATGGTGTAAATTGTTGTAAGAATAAGATTCGGGATGGGAAAAATGAAAGTTGTGGTCAAGATGATGATGTGAAGACGTTGCCGGAGTTGTTGAGGCAGGTTAAGAGTGAGTTGGATTTTTAAAATAATTTTTATTAATAGAATTTTTAAGGTGATGATTTTTTTTCTATTTATTTTTACGCGATTTGTATCTTGTCTCAGGGGTTGGAATAAAAATATTTTATTAATTCTTTTGTAATACATACAGGGCAATTCATGTAGCAGTCATGGCAATGCTACCTTATGTTGATATCTTATGTTTCTTGTTAGTGAAAATTGTGAAAATGTCTATATATTTGCCGTGCGTATTTTACATATAAACAAGCAAGGAATAATGCACCATCTAGAATTCTGTTATCATAACATTCTTTCTTGCTTGTTTATATGTAAAATACGCCTGATCGCACCGCAAATAGATAGACATTTTCACAGTTTCACTAACAGAATTGCCCCCTTATTTCCCACGTTAGTAAAAAATATTGTTTTTTTAATTTTTTTTAAACTAAATGAAGCTACAAATTAATTTATCGCATTTTAATATTTTATGTCCGGTCATTTTTTATTTTTTGTACCGTTGTTTTTATTTTATTGTTTGAATAAAAATCTCGTGCATATATATAAATAAATAAATATATTGTAAATAAAATATGTAAATATATTATTTATGGAAATGAAATTTTAATTGTCTTTACATTTTTAGATAAATTACTAAATTTTCTGACTATTGACTACAATTTATAACATTTTAGATAACTTACAACATTTTCCAACAATCACAGCTAAATTTTTTAATTTAGAACATTCTGAGACAAACTACAACATTCTGAGACGTCTCAAAACATTCTGAGACATCTTAAAACATTCTGAGACATTTTACAACATTCTGAGACATCTTAAAACATTCTGAGACAATTTACAACATTTTCAGAGCATTTTTTTAGAAATGACGTCAAAATGCTCTGATTCGTACATCTTGTTATTCTGATTACATAACTTTGTCAAGTTTGTATAAAATCGATTGATATACGACTGTTCTCCTGGTAGATCATTTTTCAAACATAAAAACAAATAAACATTTTAAGAAAAGCTTAATGCTACCTTATTAATCGACAAACGTGACTGGAATGATATTAGATATATTGTTGAAGGTTTAAACCAACATTTTTGCAAGTGGCACTAGAAGTTTTACTTCAATAACGCAACATGTAATAATACAAGCGAAACAACTGCTATATATTTATTACCAAATTGTAACACAATTTATGATAAATGAATATTATAAATAATAAACTATTTATTCTATTCACTTTCTATGAAAGTTCTCAACAAAGTAAAGTATGACAACGACGTACTCAAAATCTGAAAGTATAAATTGTAAGTCAGTTTATATTTTAATTGTACTAAGCGGGAAATTCTGTTTCATAAAATAGCATTGTCATGGCAACGCTATCTTATGCTTGTTTTTTGGTAGTAAAACTGTGAAAATGCCTATTTGTTGTGCGATCAGGCATATTTTACATATAAACAAGCTAGGAAGAGTGTTATAATAACTACATCATCTAGAATTCTGTTATCATAACATTCTTCCTTGCTTGTTTATATGTAAAATTCGCCTAATCACACGCCAAATAAATAGATATTTTTACAGTTTTACTACCAAAAAACAAGCATAAGATAGCGTTGCCATGACAAAGCTATTTTATGAGGCAGAATAACCCCATAAATTATTCTAAGTCATACTTACAGCCCCAAAGCTGGGTAAAGACAGTACAGAAAATTTGAAAGCTGTTATTTTTACAGGTCTTTGTGACCTCATGAGGGGTAGAATTAATGTTTTTGTAACGTCTGGTCTTTTCCATTCGTGCCAGCCACAGAAAAATAGGGCATCACCTACTCCGACACTCTGGAAAAGGAATTTAAAAAAAATCCATACAACTCTAACTTTTTATCCACCCTCCAGAAACATATATATCCTAATATCCATTTTAGTAATCGGTCCTTAATATGGACATTTTCGAATTTATTTGCTCCCAAGGGCTCAAACGCTTCTAAATTAATAAATAAAAATCCTGTATAAGTTTTAGCTCTTAATATTAATATTTAGATAGTCCGCAATTCAATTAAAAGTTACGTAAATTTATTATTTAACAGAATTTTCTTTTATTACTTTGGAAGCATTTAAGCCCCTGGGAGCAAAGAAATTCAAAAATGTCTATAATAAGGACCACCCTAATGTATATATAAATATAATTTTACTTACATGGTGTATCAAATTGTCTCCGTACAAACAAAGTATCAGAAGTTGATTCAAAGCCGATAGAATGTACACGATTAATTTTGCAAGATTTCCCAAACTCATCTTTACCTGAATTCAATTTAATATGTATTAATTATTAGTTAATTAATTTTTAAAATTATTTATAAAATGAAAGCTTACCGAAGCTATTTGAAATCCGACGACACATATTAGAAAGGAGCTGATGACAAAGTTTACTAACAGAATTGGACTGAAGAGCTCCTCTAATTTGTTACAGAAACTGAAAAAATAATTTGTAACGTAACATAGACGTTGGTGTAACGTAACAGTTGTTACGTCGCACCGACATAACTTAATTGGACTTCAAAAAATAGTAGTAATATTTTAAAATAGTGAAATTGTTTCTTAAATTACGAAATTTTGAAGTTGTTAATTAATAAATCGAGACATTAAAGAAATTCTAAATTTGCAAAATTAGTTAATTATAAAATTGTGAAATTCTGAAAGTGAAAAATTGTATTATCTTAAAGTACTAAAATGTTTACAAATTAATTATATATTTACAATTACATATTATATAAATGTAAAATTGTCAAATAATAAAACTAGGAAATGAAATTTTAAATTGTGGAATTTCGTGAAGTATGATATTGTGTAAGTGTGCAATTGTGTATTGTTCAAATTAAAAACAAATAATTTTTATAACAAATTTAGAATATGAAATGTTGAAGCTGTGAAATTTCAAAAATTATGTAATTATGAAATTATAAAATTGTGAAATGATATTGGAAAAAGTAATATTCTATAATAATAATAATGTGAAATTGTTGAATAATATAATTAAAAAATTTCAAAATTTAGAATATGAAACGTTGAAGCTGTGAAATTTCAAACATTGTGAAATTATTAAATTATATAATTGTGAAATTATAGAATTTAAAATATATATTTTGAAATCACAAGATTGTGAAATTGTTAAATAATACAATCAAAAATTTTCAAAACATGATGTTTTAAGAATATATATTGTGCAGTTTCAAAAATTACGAAATATTGGAGAAATTACGAATAATAAAAATGTGACATAAAATTCAAAAATGCGAAATTTCAGTTTATTTAAAATTGTAAAATTTGAAGTGAGTGAAATTGTGAAATTATGATTTTACTAAATTGTGTAATAATAAAATTGCAATAATTTTAAAATTCTAAATTGCAAAAATTGTGAAGTGTGCAAGTATTTTTTGGGTATTTAAAGTAATTAAAAAAAACATAAAATTGTGAAATTGTTAAATAATAGAATTATGATATTATATAATTGAAAAGTGTAGTGAATTTCTGTTAAATAAAATTGTGAAATTGTTTAAAATGACGGTGTTATATGTTTGAAAAGTGTAGTAATATGATGTTAAATAAAATTGTGAAATTGTTAAATAATAGGATTATGGTATTATTTAATTGAAAAGTGTATTTTGAAATAGTTAAATTTCAGAAAGTCTGTAATTCTGAAATTTGCGAAGTGTAATTTTGAAATTCTGAACCAAAATTTTGAAAATATGTAGTTAAAATATTATAAAATTAGACATTATTAGGATTTTTTATCTTCAGAATTTTATAGTTTAACATTTTGAAAATTTCTAGTTTCAAAATTTTGTAATTCTACATTTTTAGATTTATTGAAATATTGCAATATCAAACTTATATACTTTTAATATTTTATAACCATAATCTCATAATTTTGCAATTTCAGTATTGCAAAATTTAAATTTTAAAATTTTATGATGCCTCAAGTTAATTATCACAAAATTGAAAAATGAAATAAATCAAAAATTCTAAAAGACTGTCTAATTATCAACCTGATCAAAACATTATGATGTCCAACAATCCTCCTCAAATCCTTCTTGATACCACCACCATCCACCAGTACATCACCATTTGCTTTAACCATATCACCATCCTTCAACCCATCAATCTTATCCTTCAAAATCCTGAACTGTCCACAAGTATAAATAATAAAATAGCAAAAAATGCTATCCTCCGCCAAAAGCGTCGTCACCACACAAATTCCTGCCCAAGAAGTCAGTATATAAGTAACCACATACGCCACCGGCTTTTGGGCATCGAAGGGAAACCACATCTTGTAGGGAAAGGGCTTTGTGACCATATCAGGGTGTAAAACAACATCTACCACTGGAAGGATAACATACATCCCTATCAGGAGTAAAAGACTGATTGATATAATCCTGATTACCACTGATTCGCGTTCGCAAATCCTGGACACGACTTCGTTGTCATCTTCGGCGAACCAGATTTTGCTTGCGAAGAACCTGATGACGGCTTTGAACTTTCGGCGTTCCCAAAACAAATGTATGATCCTTATCAAATTATGTAATCCCATTAGGACGGTACAGCAGCCCTCGGTGAAGTACAAGATATCGTGCAGGTTGTGCACAATAAACAAAGCTTGTACAATGCAGGTCAACAGCACCAGGACGATGGTGAAAATGCACCAGCTTCGGTAGAAGTAGCCGAATTTGGTGAGTTCTGGTTCCGTTTTTTGCAAGGGCCAGAGGCCGACGACTTTTAGAAAGTTGCACTGGCGAGGGAATATCGATAGCTGGCGGTTTGTCGAAGGGGATGTATAGGTTGGTTCGTACATGGTGATGGAATGTTTTGGAGTTGGTGTTGATGGAGGTTTTATATCCAAGAAAGTGTTAAGGGGGTGCTGCATTTGTTATTTTTAATTAAGTAAATGTGTTTATGGTAGTAAAGGGGTTTATGATGATGTTTATTTAAAAAGTGAATGGTGTTTGTGCAAATTGAATTCCAGCGTCGGCGTTAATTTGTAGTCAATTTTTTTTAAATTTTTATACATTTATAATTATTTTTGGGGAATAAATCTACCGAAGCGTGTCACGTCAAGGTCATCAATTTGATAGAATTTGTTACCAAATTGAGGGGGCAATTCTGCCTCATAAAATAATGTTTTCTTATTAGTGAAACTGTGAAAATGTCTATCAATTTGCAGTGCGATCAGGCGTATTTTACATATAAACAAAGCAAGGAAGAATCTTACGATAACTGTATCATCGCCGATTCTGTTATCATAAGATTTCGCCTTGCTTGTTTATATGTAAAATATGTCAGATCGCACTGCAAACTGATAGACATTTTCACAGTTAAACTACCAAGAAAGGAGGATAATATAGCGTTGCCATGACAATTATAACTTTTCTAACTTCAATGTTTTATTTAAATTTCAATTCTTAACATTTTTTAATTTTGAAAAAATTGATTCCACATGCAGTGTCCCCTTAACGTCTTAACGTTTCGTTTTAAGTATTAATCTATTCATCAGTTCTTTGAGAATCTAAGAATGCAATATCAAAGAAGATGATACATAAATATTTTTCGATTTAATTGCTACTTAAATATAATGAAAAGGAATAGATAATTATAATTGGAAAAATTGTATTATAATGAGATTCTTTCCATAAAAGTTAAGAAAGAATTTGTAATGAAGCTGCTGAATCAGCTCTAATAATACTTAGATATTAAATATACTTATTTGCCCGAAATATCTTGGAACTACAAGAAAAAAACTGCTTGACTGATTTTTATATAACTAATATAATAGTATTCTAAATAAAATATTCAATTTGTAATTTATATGTATGAAAAATTCCATCATCTATCGATTATTAGAAAAAATTCTTTATTAGCTGTATTTCCTTCTTGTTGCTTTAGTAAAATAATTTAATACTTGTTGATTATTTATTTAATTATTCAAAATAATTAATAATATTAATGCGCCGTGATTTATATGCAACCAAAAATACGCGCAAAGCAAAATTGCATTCTTTGAATTCTTTCGCCTAAAGGTGTTTTCACATTGCGAAATAATAAGAGAATGATTTACAAATTAATTTATTATAAAAACAGAAACATTGCAGTATACTAATTACTAGATCATTATACTCTCTTTATTAGTAACTATGAGTAGTAATTTTTCAATTTTTTAAATTTTCAAACTAAACTTTTTTTTACAACTAACTAAAGTAAAAATGTTAAATCTGTTAATTTGTTAAAAAATATTAATAAACAAATAAAAAATTACACAATTTAAATATAAGCATGCATTTATCTATAATTATTGTGACTGGATTTCTATATATGTATAGTAAAATAATTTATCTATTTTATTATTGTTACATTCTTACTCAATCGCTTATATTTAATTTCATTTATATTTCATAATCAGTCAAGCAGTTTTTTTCTGTTTTATTTAAAAAAATAATTATTATATTTATGTCTCGTGTGAAACAGGTTTTAGTCATCATGACGTCACTCGAGCATTTGTTTGCAAACTCAAATGTCGTTTCTTTTAATTTAAATCAAAAATAAATGGTTAAATAAAATTATTAATAGTGTACTGTGGGTTTTTATAAATTTTATTTGTTTACAGTTAATTTATAGGAGTCCTTTCAAGTTAAAAATGTGTGTTAATAACTTAAAAGTTTATATAAATATTTAAAGTGCATTAAATTAAATGGTTGAAGCGTGTTGAGATAGTGTGACGGCTGGTGGAAAAATTTGGAGTGAAGTTTGGTGATAGTGTGAGAGTTGGTGTAAAAATAATAATTAGAAACATTTAAAAGTTTTATTGTTCCACCAAATTTATTACTGATCAATATCAAAAGTGTTTTTATCATGAAGTCATCTTCAAACTCGTCTTCTCCAATCTCGCACATCAACATCAAGACATCAAATTACCACAAAAAAGCCTTGGCAGAAATCAAGGATTCCCTAACGCCCTTTATCAGCACTTATGATAACAAAACACATAAATTTGGTGATGGTAATAAACCGCCTCCTTTGCCGCCAAAAACTTACAAAAATAAAACACTGGTCAAGGATGGCAAGGGTGAAGATTTGATGTTAGTTTGTACAAAGTCACCAGTAGAATTTTGTCACCAGTTTAGACCAATTTTATACTACCATGCTGGTGCACCAAGTTTACCAAATCATCCAAGACTAAGCCCTGTCATAAAGGAAATATCTGGTCAACATAATCTTGTACAAAATACAGAGTTTACATCTAAAAATTTGCCTTTATTTCCTGAATCCAAATTGTCAGGGTCACCAAATAAGTTGGTTGCTCTAAATAGAAACAACCAGGAGCCTGAAGGTTTACCCATTTCCACAAAATCCAAAAATCCTTTGGTCATCAAATCTGTGAAGAGCACCCACGTGCAAAAACCAATTTTGCAACAAGCTACTTGTCCTAAAAATATTAGTGGCAACCAAAATTTTGAAATTGTTAATACACCAATTAGCAGTTCTAAAAAAATTGATCAAATTTGTGTAAATGATTTAAGAAAACATTGTCCTGGAGTGTTATCTGGTGATGCTAGTTCAAAAATCGTGGATGCCAACTGCAAATTACTTACTAATAACATTTGTAGAGCTGATGTGCTAAAACCAGGAAAGTTGATCAGAACATGCAAGTATCCTCCAAAAGTGCTAAAAGATGAATTTGGCGAGAAAAATATTGCTGAAGACTCCGGGCTACTATATAAAGCCAAGGTGACTGGCGATTCAAAAAAATCATCTAGTGCTAGTCAACATCTAAAACCAGGAAAGTTAAACAGGATGTGCAAGTATCCTCCAAAAGTTGAATTGGGTGAGAAAAATATTGGTGATGAGTCAAGACTACTACATAATCTAAAATCATCTACTGTCAGTCAACATTTTCCGCATACTGTTCCAAAAACGAACAAGGATGTTTTCAAAGACCAGGAGAACCCAAATGTAAACCAAGAAGACCAGATGTTTTTCAAAAATGATAAAATTGAAGAAGCTCGTGCAGGATTTGAGAAAGTCTCCAAACATCCTCCAGATGCTGATGTTCCAAAAAGTTTCAAAACTACAATTGGTACCAATGTCGATGCTTTATCAACTACAAATGTTTTACTCCAAGACAACCATGCTAAATATCAATTACCTAAAACAATATACCAATCATTCATCCCCCGAAAGTCTTCTAACACAAATACAAAATCAAAAAACACACATCCCAAAACTTCAAGCTCTTCCTCGAACAAAACTTAGAGAAACTCTTAAAATCCCAGAAACAACGCCAACGTCGACGCGTTCAACTGGAGAAAGAAATGACCAAACTTGCCCTAAATTCTTTGACCAAGCACCAGATGCGTCAAATGTTGTACCAGAAAGAAAGCAATTACATACGCCTACAAAGAACCAAACTTAGGAAATCTATGTTTAAAAAAATCCATCATTTGGGAACTGGTGCCTTCGGCACTGTCAGCCTTGTCCGGAAAGTAGACACAGGGCGCCTGTATGCGATGAAAGTTTTAAATAAGCAAGATGTACTAAAAAAAAACAGATAAGGCATGTGGTTGCCGAAAGGGATGTTTTGGCTGAAGCAGATAATGATTGGGTTGTTAAATTATATTTTAGTTTCAAGATTTGCAGAATTTGTATCTGATCATGGAGTATGTGCCAGGAGGTGATTTGATGGGGCTTTTGGTTAAGTTTGAAGTGTTCCGGGAACCTTTTGCCAGGTTCTATATTGCTGAATTGGTTTTGGCTATTGAGAGCGTGCATAACATGGATTTTATACACAGAGACATCAAACCAGATAATGTTTTGATTGATGGTAATGGACATATTAAGTTGACGGATTTTGGATTGTGCACAGGGGAAAGGGGAAATAATTATTTGACCAAAATGGATTTGGAAGTCCAGTTGGCTAATGATGATATAGATAATTATAATGTTCCTCCGGATCACTTGGTCTACTCTCTAGTTGGCACACCCAACTACATAGCTCCCGAAATTTTACAAAAACGTGGTTACACCAAGTTGTGCGACTGGTGGTCCCTAGGTGTAATTTTATACGAAATGCTCGTCGGACAACCTCCGTTTGCAGCCCCAACAATTCCAGAAACCCAACACAAACTCCTAAACTGGAAAAAACATCTACACATACCAGACAAACCCAACATCTCACCAGTTTCTAAAAATTTAATCCAAGGACTTCTATCTGATCCTGGTGAGCGTTTAGGACAAACCGTTGACGATATCAAGAATCACCAGATGTTTTTGGATTTGGATTTTGATGGTTTGAGGCAACAACCAGCTCCTTATATTCCTAAAATTGATTTTGATACTGATGTATCCAATTTTGATACTAAAAGTGGAAAAGTGTCGCCAGGAGGTGATGGTGGTGTTGGAGGGATGTTTTATGGACTTTTTGGGTATACGTTTAGGAGATTTTTTGATGATGCGCCTGAGATTTTAAGAGATTTAGATGTGGATGAGGATGGTTTGAGGAAGTCTATATATGTTTAGCAGAAAAAGGTAATCTGATAATTTATTAATATAATTTTCTTAGTTCTTGGACTTTTAAAAATTTTGATATTTTCAAAATAATTACGTATTTTTCATATTGATATCCATATAGTTCTGTTTCAAATTTATGACATTTTTGAAAAAATTTTCATTTCTCAAAATATTATTGTTTTTAGTCATATTGGTATTTTCTAAATTTTGATTTAAAAAAAAAATACAATTTTTAGAAATTTTGAAATTTTTCTGGCCTTCAAATTTTTCATGTTTTTGGCATTTGCACTATTTTTTTATATGAATTTTGTTTAAAAATTAGATCTTTTTCGAAATTTTGACATATTTAAATTGTGATTTTTTTCAAATTTGGATCTATTGGTAAAATCGGAAATTATTCAAGGTTTTGATTTTTTTTGAAAATTTTTATTTTTTTTTGAAATTTTAATATTGGTATTTTAATTTCGGTATTTTAATTTCGGAAATTTTTAGACGTTTTAATATTTTTTTAGCTTATATCTTTTCCAAAAGTTTATTTATTTTATAGAAATTTTGACTTTTTTTCGATCTTTGTGAAATGCTTACATTCTTGGCAATTTTAATATATGTAGTACTTTTTTCGAAATTTTGACTTCTCAAGTATTGAAATTTTTGGAAAACTTTGGGTATTTTTGAAATGCTTACATTATTAATAATTGTAGTACTTTTTTGGAAATTTTGACTTTTAAAGTATTGACATTTTTGGAAGATTTTGGATATTTTTGAAATGCTTAGATCTTCAACAGTTTTAACATTTTTTCTACTTTTTTGGAATATATTAGAATTTCCAGAACAATAAAAATTTTCAAAAATATAAAAATTTCGGGCAATTTCAGAATTTACCAATAAAACCGAATTTGAAAAATATCAAAATTTTTAAAAATCCTAGAACTATTTAAAACAAAAATGAAAAAACAATCAAATTCACCAAAAATACTTTTATACTATATTTATAACTTTGACCTTTATACTGATATTTTGGAAAATTATATATTCCGGGAACTTCTGAAATTATTAAAAATATTGATTTTTATCAAAATATTATTGGTTTCGAATTTTTAACATTTTTTAAGACTTCAATATTTTTGGAAATTTTAATATTAATGGAAATTTTAGCAGTTTGAAAAAGTATTCTTTATGTTTTTGAAAATATAACACTTTTAACTTTCTAAAATAAAAGTTTATATTTCGCCAGAAGAACCGACTAGCTAACCTTATAGTTTCTCGACATTTCAAGTCATTCTGAATCGTTTGAGCCAAAAATTGGAAGGCATATGTGTCTGAGATAATCCGACTAGCAAATCTTATGGTTTCTCGATGTTTTGAGTCATTCTGAATCGTTTGAGACGATATTTGAAAAGTATCTGTGTGTGATATTTATACTTGTTTATCTATGGTGTGAGTCTTTTCTCGTAAAAAAATTATCAAAGTTTTTACCAGAAAAATCTAAACTTATTTTCATAAACTTATATAAGCTAGTATAGTTCACAGTTTTATCGTATGATTTTGTACGTTTCGGAACTAGTTATGTTCCATCTTTCAAAGTTTTCGTCAAAACATCTAAATTTTTATAAACTTATATAAGCTAGTATAGTTCACAGTTTTATCTACGTTTCGTTCTACTAGTTATGTTCCATCTTCAAGTTTTCAGGAAATTGCATTGATTACTTTCTAGTAACAGCAAAAACATTATTTTTACTTAAACAAACAGTTAAAAATGTTATCTTAAGTGCTGAATCTCAATTCTCATTGTTGAAGTCCAAGACTTACACTATCGAAATGTTCATGCAACTTTTTTAATGCAAAACACAGTTCACAAATAGTTTCAAATTCAATTCCAAATTCAAATCTGCCGCCAACAATTACCTCCACGCCCCACTCGACTATGTCTCCTGTCTCACGTGGCAACACTATTTGTTATTCTGTCAACGGAGCTCCGATCGATTATTTTCATCTGGCCGCCGCCGTCAGCAGTCAGACGACTTTGCGACAAAAAATAAATTATTTCATACTTATCAAAATATTATTTTAATTCAAACCAACAGCCAAATAATAAATAAACATATTGGCGATTTATTAAAAATAGTCTCGAGTTTTGCGATTGTGTTTTACATAGTTTAAAACTTTGTTGAAAATTTGTTATTTAACAGGGCTGGTTTTTGTTTTGAAAATATAATAAATAAATTAGAGGAAAAATAAATTATTAAAAGTGTTGGTGGATTTATAGATTTATTAGTGTATGTTGTGCTTAAAATGTTTAAATTTGGAATTTGATTCATGTGCGTAAATAAATTGTTTGTGCAGTGTTGATTTTTGGTATAAATTAATGGTGAGTTTTTTATTCATAAAATTTGAGGTTAATTTAAGTTAATTTATTTTAAACAAATTTGTTAACATTAGTTTTAGTGTAACATCTGGGCTCGAATTTGTAAGGTTATGAAAAATTTTGTTTAGAAGTCAAAAGTAAGCTCCTTTTTTAAATTTCCTCTTGATGATGACACGAATATGGTATCCGAAACGTCCCAAAACAATTATCATTTACCAAAAACCTTTTTCTTACATTTTCTGTTCGAAACCTAACCGCAATTATATATTATTTATATTTTCCCCCACGTTTTGACATAAGACTTTTTGTATAATTATCTGCAAAAATATAAATTAAAGTATACCGAGTTGCTGTAGGGTGTTATCATGTTAGACAATGTTGTAGATTATTTAATTTCGTACAACTTTGTCGAATATTTCATTCAAATCTGACTTGCCGTTTAAGAGTTACAAGAGATTTAGCAAATGAGTAAAAGTATGATGGGTCGAATGTGGTGTCAAAACGTTTTCACGTCAAACATGTCGTGTGGGGTATCATTTAAGAGGTCTCGACGACCTGAATTCGAATATATGATTGACATACTTTAGAATGCAAAAGGATTCTGTACACAACTTGATTTCGGTACATTTCAGGTTTATATTGCAATTTTAATGTACACCGAGTTGCTCTGGGGACTTTTGTTGTTAGTAAAAGTTGTAGATTATTTAATTTAGTACAAATTTGTCGAATATTTCGTGTAAATCTGACTTGCTGTTCAAAAGTTACAAGAGATTTAGTAAATGAGGCACAATGTGATGGGTCGAATGTGGTATCGAAACGTTGTCACATCAAGCATGCCAGGTGTATACACCACTTGATTTCTGTACACGTCAGGTTTATATTGCAATTTTAAAGTACACCGACTTGCTCTGGATACTTTTGTTATAAACAGTTGTAGATTATTTAATTTTGTACAAATTTGTCGAATACTTCATTCAAATCTGACTTGCCGTTCAAGAGTTACAACAGATTTAGTAAATGAGACAAATTATGATGGGTCGAATGTGGTGTCGAAACGTTGTTACATCAAACATGTTGTGTGGGGTATCATTTAAAAGGTCTTGACGAACTAAATTCAAATATATGATTAACAGACTTTAGAATTCAATAGGATTCTGTACATCACTTGATTTCGATACACTTCAAGTTTATATTGCAATTTTAAAGTATACCAAGTTGCTCTTTATTGTTAATAAAAGATGTAGATTATTGAATTTTGTACAACTTTGTTGAATATATCATGTAAATCTGACTTATCGTTTAAAACTTACAAGAGTTTTAGTAAATGAGTCACAGTATGATGAATCGAATGTGGTGCCAAAACGTTGTCACGTCAAATATGTCGTCATCACACTGAACATAGTTACGCATAGTGGTGCATTTATTTACTAAATCTCTTCTATCTTTTAAACGACAAGTCCAATTTGAATGAAATATTCAACAAATTTGTGCAAAATTAAATAATCTACAACTTGTCCTAACAACAAAAATTCCCGGAGCAACTCGGTATACTTTAAAATCGCAATACAAACTTAAAGAGTAACATCTCGTGCCGAAATCAAGTCGTGTATAGAATCCTAGTGTATTTTAAAATCTGTCAATCATATATTTGAATTGGGGTCGTCGAGACCGTTTGAATGATACCCCACACTACATGATTGAAGTGACAACGTTTTGGCACCACATTCGACCCATCATACTGTGACTCATTTAGTAAATCTTTTGTAACTTTTAAACGACAAGTCCGATTCGAATGAAATATTCGACAAATTTGTACAAAATTAAATAATCTACAACTGTTATTGACAACGAAATCTCTAGAGCAACTCGGCATGCTTTAAAATAGCAATTGAACATAAATATATAATCCAGGCATTATTTTTCTTGTTATAACCTAAAAAACATTCATGTAATATAAATGATGTAAATTATTAAATGCTCTATATACTTAAAAATATTAGTTCTCCTGTACTGTTTATAGTTCAGTAATAGTGCATTTATCAATTATATGTTTTGTAGTTAATAAAATATTAAACTCACCTTAATTTTAAACTCCAACTGCATTTACACAAAAGTTATAAATATAACTCGCCTTTATTCCAAATCACTTTCACTTGCTATTTATTAATTAAATTTACACTTGTTAATTATAATTATATCTATAAATATTAATATTTAACCATTTTTCTTTAATCTAAATCACTTTCACTTATATCTTATTCCTTCAAATGACATTTGTTAATTAACTTGAAGTTTGTTATCTTAAAATTTAGGGTTGTCTGATTTCGATATCGTATATAGCGTGCTCGCTCACACATACGGCGTTAGAGTGAGATAGACGACGAGATTGAAGCTGAAGTACAAATCATATGCAATATGAAAAAGTACATACTATTATTATTGGGGTTGTCTAATGTAAATGAATTATATAGCGTGCTCGCTTACACATATGGTGGTAGAGTGAGATAGATAAGGGGATTTAAACTGAAGTTTAAAATGTAAATAAATGGTGGTTTAAGAAGTAGTATTTTTTGTAGTGCATTAAGTTTGTTCGTTATTTGGCAAATTTACATTATAAACAAACTGCAAACAAAGTGATAACGTGTTAGATACTAAAATAAATAATTACAATATATAATTTTGTAGATGTGAGTGGTTTTAACGAATATTAGGTTAATAGTGAAACATCTTCAATTGTGCATTTATTTATTATATGTCTTGTAACTTTTAAAGGGTAAGTCTGACATAAATCTACAATATTGTCTACTATCTAATTACCGAATTATTGATTAAATTTTCTACTAATGCATTTCGGATGATGTTTGCATATTTGTTTTGTATCTCGAGTGAAATCGAATTCGTATATAATATGTATTTTTCGAATGGCGAACTGTTTAAATATATAAAGAACGCGATGAGGTATTTTTAGATGGAGTAAAACGATTGCGGTTGCGGCGGCCCACTTGTTTTATATAAATAATATACAGAGTGTATATATTTATATATATATATATATATATAGATGTAATATTTTTGCAGCCCAACCGTCGCATTAAAAAAAGGTTAAATAACAAAATTATTTATTCCATTAATCATTTCGACACTTGATGTGTGTAATCATTCAGTAATCTAAAAAACATATAACATAAATACAGAGTTGATGATAAATATAAATATATATATAAAGAAGGAAATTATACATACCAAACCAGAAAAAACAACAGAAAAAATTAATTATGATGTAAAATTGATTGAACACTAAATTTGTGTAAAATAATAAAATACTATTATATTAACAAACGAGAACTAGAAGGAACACATATCGCCCTCCTATATTTAATGTTATTGATAGCGGTGCATTGTGGACACTGATCAAGGTTACAACGCATCAATAACATTAAATATAGGAGGGCAATATGTGCTCCTTCTATTTCTCGTTTGTTAATATAAGAGTGTTTTATTATTTTACACAAATTTAGTGTTCAATCAATTTTACATCATAATTAATTTTTTTTGTTGTTTTTCCTGGTTTGGTATGTAAAATTTCCTCCTTTTCATATATTTATATTTATCATCAACTCTGTATTTATGTTATATGTTTTTTGACACACATCAAGTGTCGAAATGTTGAGTGGAATAAATAATTTTGTTATTTAATTTTTTTTTAATTCGACGATTGGACTGCAAAAATATTACAAATATGTATCAACGTCGACAAAACTATCATATATATATATATATATATATATATATATATATATATATTTCTGATCATTTTTCATTCCATTTTGGCAATTAGAGATTTATTTGATTTTTAAAGGTTGTAGCTATTATTAAAATATTATTTCTATTTCCAGAATTTTCAAACCAAAATGGACGTCATCTCCTCCTGCTCCTGATCGGACGACTGGGTGTTTTTGAAAAAAAATGTAAAATACATCCAAAGATATTTATTTTACAATTAAATTCTAAAAAATGTTGGAATTTCGCTGCAATTAAATGTTGATGAAATGCGCTGAAGAGGAAGAAGAGCGTCGAAGGGTCAGCCTTTTTGTGCAGTCGAAGTGGTGCATTATTAGGGAAGTCTGCACAGGGAAAAAGTCGATGAAAAATGGGCAACTCTTGCAGCTTTGGACAGGGCCGAAAGGGCAGCGACAGCATTTCGGAAAAGTCGGAAGAGTGAGTAAATTTTTTATACCAGTAACTAATTATTTTTGCGATTTCTAACTAATAAGGAGTCGTCCACTGATCGATTTTTAAAGATTTTTGGACCCTTATTATACCCTTGGTAGTAGTACGTGGTGAAAATCAAAAGTATTTTATATTACCTAGAAAAATCGTACATTTCTGGAAGTTTTTTTTTTAATTTTCTGGATTTTTTAAAATACTGGTAAAAAAATAAATACACGTGATATCTTGCTAGATTCAAATATAATAGATAAATATCATATTTTTGTCCACCCCCTCTCCCCTCTTCGTGTAATATTTTTTGTCTACCCTCATTGGGCCTCACGTAATTAATGGACATTTTACATTTTGGATTGTTCTACACTTACATTTCGGAAATTTGTATTCTTCATTATAGTTTCGATGTAGACTAAATGATTTATTGCTGCCAATCATTTTTCATTTATTTATTTATTTATTCATAAGCAAGCCGTAATCAATAATAATAGATATTATTTCAGGCTCTTGTCATTATGAATTTTGTGATTTTAATTTTATAGATTTTATTGTAATTTTCCACGTCGAAAGAATTTCAAAAAGTCTATTTATAAACACTTTACAACAATACTTAATACATACGAGCTTTTGTTTAAAGGCATTCCTCAAGGAAGTATTCTAAGTGCTATTTTTGTATGTAGTTTCTTAATTTATTCGCTTTGTATATGTATTTCAATGTTTCAAGTTAATGTATATTAAATTTATTATTGATTTAATTTACATTTTTGATTATAATAATTTCGACTAGGTCTTTTGTCTGGGTATGCCGGACAAAAGAATATAGGCTCAGAACCGCCTGGGTATAATATCGACTACAACCTGCGAGGGAAACAGCCATTACTTCATGGGGGGGAGGATCTAGAATGCTTTCTTTATCTATCTTAATTATACTTTCCTCCTAATTAATACAATTCTACTTCTACTACTTCCTTCCGAAATTAAATCACATGTATTTTTGATAATTTATTATGAACTATTTTTTAATTTCTAAATTTTAAATTGTTATTGAAAAATAATTTTTAGTAGTTTTTTCTAATTTTTAATAGAATATAATTCAATTTTAATATATATATATATATATATATATATATATATACATAATTAAAAATTAATATGACGAACATATTACGGCCACACACGTAATATAAATTAATTGGTGAAACAATTAAAATTGTTATTACGTAACGACAAGACATTTATTATTTATTGTTTGTTATAAAACACAATAGAGGACTTGTGTGCATATACATAATTTATGTATATATATATATATATATATATATATATATATATAAATATATAATTTTAAAAAATATTATTTTTATAGATAAAATGATTGCATTCGCATTTTTCTACTTTTGCTTTTTTTAGTTCTCGGATTTTTGTATTTTGTTCTAATTATTTCTTCATGTATAAATTTTTATATTGATTGGATTTTTCTACTTATTGAATTTTTTTACTCATTGGATTTTATTTTATTGGTTTTTATTTTCGTTAGAATTGTCTTTATTAGATTCTTATTGTCATTGGATTTTGTCTTCATTGGATTTTCATTCTCATTGGATTTTGCCTGACTTGGATTTTCATTCTCATTGTATTTTGTATTTATTGGGTTTTTATTCTTATTAGATTTTGTCTTTATTGGATTTTCATTCTTCTTTTGTCTTGGATTTGCATTCTCATTGGATTTTGTCTTTATTGGATTTTTATTCTCATTGGAGTTTCTGTTTGAATTTTTCTAGTTATTGCTGTTTTTGTAAATCCCACTCTTTTCCATTTTTTGGATTTGTACAATCATTGATATTTTATTCTGGTTAGATTTTTCTATTCATTGAGTTTTTCTAACATTGGATGGATTTTTAAATTTAATATAATTTTTTTAAAGTTTCATATTCTGCTCATTCAATTTTTGAATTCATTAGATTTTTATACTCATTCGATTTTTACACTCATTAGATTTTTATACTCATTCAATTTTTGAATTGGATTTTTTTAATACTCATTAGGGGACGTCCATTAATCACGTAATCGATTTTTAAGAATTTTTGGTTTTCCCCTCCCCTTTGGTGATATTCAAAATCACCCTTCTTTCCCTACCAAACATCACGTGCATTTTTATTTACAAGAAAAACTGTAAATTTTTTTAACTTTTTTGAAAATGTTTGGATTTTTTCAAAAAATTTTGGTAAAAAAAATACGAGTGGTATCTTACTATACCTTCCCCTACCTGATATTTTGTAATTTATTGTCAAACCTCCCCCCCAGTGCTTAAAAATCTCACGTTATTAATTGATGCCACTTTGGAATTTTAAACATTGGATTCTTATATTAGTTGGATTCTTCTGAATTTTGAATTGGTAATATTTTGTATTCAAAACTTTCTCAATTCTTGATTTGTAATATGAATGTAGAAATTTTTATAAGATTTTTTTATCTATATATTTAATATCAAATGTCATAATTAATATTTAAACTCGTTATTTATATCACAAGCGTTTCAAAACTTAAATAACTCGAGAATGTTTTGAGTTTGTGTGTATATTTAGATTGAGGATTCGTTTACGATAATGTTTACTAAGTCGTGTGTGGTCTATAATTAAATATATATATATATATATATATATATATACACCACACTATTCATACTAAAATTAATTTTTAATTTGAAAATTTGCTTTATTTGACTTAAATAATACATTGATTTTTACATAGTTACAAATTGTATACACAATGTATTCTGGGAATATCATTATTCTATACTGATATACTATTCATACCAATTTCTTTCTCTATCTAGAATTTTCTAAAAATCTTTACACTGTTTCTTCATTTATTCAATTCTCAGGTCAAATCGTCATCAGCAGCCCCAATCAGACACCAAACATCCCCATGACGTCGACGAGAAAAAAGGGCAACATGCGCCTTCATCCCAACAGGGTTCTGACGTCACGGGGCGTATTTCCCAGGTGACGTCATCCGGCGAATCCGGCAGGGCCGGATCGGGGATTGCCCCAAAAGCGTTGCAGGAAATCAGTCATGTTTGTGGTGAGTAGAAGAGGAAAAGAAAATAGATATAGGAAAATAGATATAGATATAAGAAAATAGATGCCCTGAATTTTCACATTCCTACCACAAACTATTTATTGACAATAGCTTATTCAATGAAGTTTTTCAGCAAAAAATGAACATTTATATATATATATATATATATATATATATATATATAAGAATTGTCTTAAAGAAGAAATTGAAAGTAATTCCTTTGTAAATGAATCTTTTTATTATCATTTATTTGCAGATACAGTCTCGACTCCTTCTCCAGTTGTCAAAGAATTTGGCACCAAACTAGAAAATGTTGTGTTAAGTGAAATGCCGCCAAAATTGCAAGACATGGATCCAACTCAAATTTTGCTCCTTCGAGGAAAATTAGGCGCTGATAAATGTAGACGGCGACTAAAGAAAATTGTGCTGTTTGTTTTGAGTGCTGATGGAAAAGGTACTATATAGTTAGTTATTTTCATTATCGTAAACAGTTTGTCTATCTTAATGGATTCTTGAGCAATATTGAAATTATCAGTTCAGGTGTTCCTCAGGGATCCATTCTTGGTCCACTACTATTTATTATTTTTATTAATGACATATCTGAAATTATTAGCTGTCCACATTTATTATTCGCAGATGATCTCAAACTATATCTCAAAATGAATTCTGTTGATGACTGCTTATTATTACAATCCCAACTTGTCTCTTTCCACTCTTGGTGTGTCTATAACAAATTACATTTAAATATATCAAAGTGCAAGATAACTAAGAAAAACTAAGAGTTTTTTACATAAGCGCGTTCGAATACATTTTGATTATAAAAAGGTGAAGGTTCAGCGAAAATTGTTGAATTATCTTTATTATAAAACATATAAAATTTACCCTGAACGTGGCTTTGACCACAACACTTTACTAAAAGAATTTGTTATTCCTTCTCTTGCCTCACGTCGATTTATCTGTACAATTATGTTCTTATTTAAACTTTGCAATAATTCTATAGACTGTCCTCTTATTCTTAACCAACTATCTTTTAATGTTCCAATATGCGTTCACAATTATTTTTCAATTATCCTAGTCCTAAATCTAATTCTCTTTTAAATTCGCCTATTTTACTTGTGTCCTCTAACTTTAACTTAATTAATAATGAAATAGATATTCACAACACTTCACCTAATCAAATAATCTTCATCTGCGCAAGTTAACCTTTTTATTTTCTTTTCAAATATCTCATTATTTTATCTTATTCTGTATATAAATAACATCGTTACATTCTGCATTATATGTAATTTTATGTTAAGCATTTTATGTTAATGACTATATATTGTGATTTTGTATATATTTTAATTGTTATTCATTATGTAAAATAATTGTATTTTTGAGTCCTCTTGGAAGAAATCTGTGGGAATCTGTGGGCTATATATTTAAAAATAAATAAATATAATAAATATCAGGAGTTTTTTTTAGATCTTTACTATTTCTGGTTTTTATTGCAGATTCTGTTCAGGAAAGGACTGAACTGGCCGAAAATATTTTGAAGAGTCTTCGGTTGAAATTTTCGAAGCAGGACTTTGAAATTCATCTGGTCGATACGAATTGTGATGATGTATCCAATGTGCAGGCGAGATTGTTTGCTGAAACAAGGAAATGGGAATTAAAAAGTAAGTAAAAATCAATAAACTATAAATGGAAATTAGGAACAATTTCTTCAGATTATTTTCGCTGGTGTTAGTTTACTAAGCTTCTCTGCAGCAAAATTTGTCTCAATTTCTTTTTGACGTTATAATACTCAAACCAGATTTATCTAATTTACGATATCTAAGTTTCTAATTGCGATCTTTTATATTTTTTTCTAGGACATTCAGACCAATGTTACCTCGTACCAATTTTATTGCTGAACAGCACATTTGGACAGCAACTTGTACCATTTACAATTGAAATTGGTGACTTTGAAGAAGTTTTGTCAAAATTGGAAAACGATAAGAGTAAAGAATTGATGTCAAAACTGTATCAGAAAGTAACCAAAGACAAGGAGACAATGTATGAACTTCAGGTAATAACCATAATCATAACTCTGGATGAAGTCAATTTAGGACAACAATAGAATTCCATAAATTGTGACTTCTCTGGTTACTAAATTTACTTCCAATTTCCAGAATCTCAAGTCAAGTGATCTCCCAAGTGATGTGCAGGATCTCATCAAAGACCTGTCGGCTCTATGGCCACAAGATAAGGTCTTGAAATATTTGACAACAGCTTTAGAAGATTTATTAAACGAAGTCATGAAGAATCATGAAGACTTGTTGAAAAATATGATCTGGTTGAACAGAATGAGCACTGCTTCGTTTAACGCGGATGCTGAAGTTCAGAAGAAAACTTATGGGCATTGTGCAAGAGTTAAAGGTAAGGGTATAATCAACATTTTTTTATTCAACTAGATGACCCGACAGACGTTGTCCTGTACCCATTTCTACAATTTTTTATTATAATATACTAATATTTACCGTTTACCTAAAAATAATAATTATTGTTTTTTGAAAACTCTTCACGCCCCAATGCATATACATTTTACAATATGATCGATGTTAAATGTAGAACTGCCTTAAATAAAATGATGAGTCTCAGTTATCACACTATATTGGAAATTGAAGTCTTTTAAACGGTATAACATAACCATAACCATAACATGACACTGGTACTTCATGTTGGATTAAATTAATTTAATTTTTTATTATTCAAAATATCCAAAATTGCATCTTAAACTTCTCCTAATCGATATCGTGAGGGCCGAATTGTATGTATTCATCTTTACTTTCCCATTTGTTGTTATAAAGTGAAATTTTGACTATTTTTAAAAATATTGTGGAAAGATTAGTAAAATATGCAAAGAAATTATATATTGAAAAAAAAACTATATTGAAAATTTAATATCCTAATCTTGTGTTGGCGCCCTAAGGCGTTCACTCGTATTAAAGGTACGACCGGCCCTGATTAACACTAAATTTCACAATTTAAGTGAATTAATTTGTCATATCCTGTTCACATGTGTATCATTCAATCTGCCATACATATACTGTCTCTTATACTATTTTAATTCCTGGCACATCTCAGCTGCTTTTTGGCAATAATAATGTAGACATTTCATTTTTCTCATTCATAATCATAAATTTATTATACATATACTAATATAAGCAATCCTTCGGAAATAAGAGTAGAGTCTATTTTTGCTTCGAAAATAAGTTTCCTAGTCAGTAATCGCTTTTTGTTTTGAAAATTATAAGAAAAATCTTCAGAAATCAGTTTGCTCGTAAGTAGAGTCCCTTTCTGCTTTCAAATTAATTTTTTTTCAGAAATCAGTTTGCTTGTAAGTAGAGTTGAAATTTATTCCTTCCTTTGAAATTTTTCCCTTGAAATTTATAAGAATATTTTCAGAAATCAGTTTGCTCGTCAGTAGAGTCCCTTTTCCCTTGAAATTTATAAAAATATTTTCAGAAATCAGTTTGATCGTCAGTAGAGACCTTTTTTTGAAATTTATAAAAATAGTAGACATTTCTTTTTACTTATTCATAATCATAAATTTATTATACATACTCTAATATTGTTTAGGTTCATAAGTAAATTGAAATTTTTGGCAGATGATAGTTTTCATTTGTTTTCAATGCAAACAATGACATGTAGCTTTTTGCAATTTTTTCCATTTATTTCCACAATATTGTACATACATCCCAGTACTTCAGTATAATCACATTCTAGAAAATTTCTTTAACCAAATTCAGAAAGATTTATCAAAATCCGAATAATCGTTAAAGAAGGTGTAGTAAGGAGTGAGTGCTTGTAATTTAATATGAACTTTATATAATAGAAATAAAGCTCAAATTGATCCTACGTTTTAGTTAGAAAACGTTTGTATGTGAAAAAGAAAAGAGCTGTTTTTAGGGTTTTCTTGGCAATTATTCGATTCTTTCTCGCCGTAAGAACCATCCTTGGACTTTGACGAACATTTTGAAAAAAATTTGGCCAAATTGGTCTAGGCGTTGTTGAGTTATGCGCTTACCAACGCATTTTGCGATTCATTTTTATACATAAGAAGATTTAAGCCATCAACTCTGGAAATCATCAAAAATGGAAATAACTTAATCATTATTTATAAGAAATTATTCAATAAGTAAATAGTTAAAATTATATATTTTAATTGTCAATAAAATATTGTGAATTTTATATCGAATTTAAAAAACAACTACTGAGTTGTTTTTTCCAACATGCCCGTGTAGTATACAATGTCTCTTTTCGGCCGACTATCGTAAATTCATCAAATTTATTGAATGTCCTTTACTGGACAGTTGTAAATAAAAGAGATAATAATATATATATATATATATATATATACATATATATAAGATTTGATAATTTTTCTACATTTTTGCAGAAACAAGTACCAGAAAAGAACATCCTGAAACACTCACCTAAACCGTCGGACAACCACGATCCTGCGAACGTCGTTCAACAAATCAGCGCACAACTTCTCACTGCCTTAACAAATCCTATAGCATCCTTGATCCAGGATCATGGTCAAACCTGTCTGGCAAAACCTTCACTAGGTGTAAGTGCATCCTTGTTTAACAATATCGAAAAACAAATACCAGAAGATTTATTAGACGCATCTGACTCGGAGGATTTGCAAAAAATCTTGAAGTACTTGAAGAGTGATGCTAATCATCCTTTAGTGGTTTCTGGAGGTAGTTTTAGTGGTAAAAGTGTTTTGTTGAAGATGGTTGCACAAAAAGTGGTAGCTGGTAGTGAATTTTTCCCAGTTGATGGTAACTTGGTGTGCAGGTTTGAGGATTTGAACTCTGGAGCGAGTTTGGTGCAGGTTTTGGAGGATGTTGCTGACAGGTGTAAGATTTTGCAGGACGGAGAGGCTACTTCTTGTAAACATGTAAGAACTAGTAATCAAGATTTATTTAAAAAAACTAAATTATTATAAACATCTTTGCAAAAATTTGAAAAAATTAGATTTTTGAGAGATTTTGAAATTTTTGAAAAAAATTGACTTTTTTGAAAAATTCGATTTTTTTTATAATTTGAAATATTTTGGAAATTTTGAACTGTTTTCGAAAGCATTTGCAATACGCTAGCTGCGTTGAAATGAAATATAGACAAATTACTGGAATTTCCCATACTGAAAACTAAATTATTAAAAAACAACTTTAAAAGAATTAGATTTTTGAGGAATTTTGATATTTTTGAAAAAAAATGACTTGAAAAATTTCATTTTATAATTTGAAATAATTTAAAAATTTTGAACTATTTTTCAAAGCATTCGCAATACGTTAGCTGCGTAGAAATGAAATATAGAAGCGCGTGGGCGCCGCGTCGCAGTTTAACAAATAAACATTTGTACGGAACCCATAGAAAAATAAACAAAAGTTGTTCTTATTATTAAAATATCTTTAAAATATATGATAATTTGATTTGCATATTAGGGTGGTCCTTAATATGGATATTTTTGAGTTTCTTTGCTCCCAAGGGCGGGGGGCTAATATTTGAGTTCCTAAATACTATCACAGATGACGCAAGAATTTGCTTAATTGACATATGTTAGAAATAAATATACGAAACTTTAATTGAACTGCGGACTGTCTAAATGTTAATATTAAGAGTCACAACTTTTAGAGATTTTTTTTTCATTAATTTGTAAACGTTTGAGCTCTTGGGAGCAAAGAAATGTGAAAAGAGTCCATATTAAGGACCACCCTAATATACACATCAAATTATGATATATTTTATAAACATTTTAATAATAAGAATGAAATGGTCTGATGGTAATTTTTGTCCACCAAATGGCATTTTTTGTCACTTTTTTATTGGATCTCCGAAACCGCTAGACCTACCTTACCAAAAATAGTAATCATAAGTTCTTAATTTCGCCAATACAAATAAAATGTTTTTTGAATCACACAAATCGGACGCTCCGTTCTCTCTAAAAATTAGTTACCATTTTTGGCACTTTTTGTCCCGTATCTCCGAAACGGTTCGACCTGCCTTTGCCAAAAACTAATCAGCACGTCTTCTTGTCAATACGAATTGAATGTTTTTTAAATTATTCAAATCGGTTGATCCGTGTTCCCGAAATCGTTGACGAAAATTGGTATCTGCACACACACACATCAATTTTTTTCTAAAGAATGCCAAAATGTTCAGAAACTTTTGAAACGTAAAGATATATAAAAAAAATATTATCAATTTAGGCGACCAAATTCTAATCCATTATTTTTTTTTCCAGGATTTACAGTCTTACTCGACCATCATCACAACGTCTCTGCAAAGCACCAGGAAGCCACTTCTGATTATCCTCGATGGTCTGGACAGGCACCAGCCCGTAGACGTGTCTTGGATACCTCAAACCTTGTCAACGAATGTTAAAATAATAATAAGCGCTACGCACAACACCAGCAAAATTGGTGACCAGGATGACCAATGTAGATTTTATGACAGTTTGAAGAATCGGTTGGACGAGAAGTGCTTTTTGTCCGTTGGAGAAGATATGAGGAAACGCGCGCTGGCGCGCGTTTTTGATAAAGGATATTTAGATATTGTAAGTAATAAGTAAAATATTGTAACCAATATGTAAAATCACGTTGATTTGTATTTATCTGATTATTATAATTTTTAGAGTCAGGATGAGTTTGCAAAAACTGAAGACCAACCCAATCTCATTTACGATAAGGTAGTGTCGTTCATCACAAAATTAGCCAAGGAATTTTTGGAGTTCGATGTCGCTAATGTTTTGGCGTTGCTGGTTGCATCGAGAGCAGGTTTGCTGGAGACGGAAATCTTAGACTTACTGACTGGTTGTGATAAGTTGAAGGGGACCCAAAAACAAAGTAAGTAATAAAGCGAAATAAGACTTACAACTAGTAAATGGATACAAAAAAAGTGCAAGTAAATAATTATATATTGAGTTCTATATTACACTTTACATATATAATAGAGAAAAGTTATCTTTTATTCATTAAAATATATTTTTAAAAATTATAAACTTTTAATCGTTTCATCTCGACGCCTTTTCTTATTCTACTCTTGTCGGCACAATTGTCATAAAGAAATAATACGAGTACATTATTAGTCGATATGAATTAGTACTTAGGTTATAATCAAAGCAAAATTAGATATCAACACATCACAAAGACTTATAGAAAATTATTTCATTTACTGATCATCCAATAAATAAACTAGTGGTGTATGGCATCGTGCCTTAAGGCAAATTGCTGGAACTTCCCGTACCATAATGAAATATTCCAGAAATTGTAAACGCTTTCACATATATTATTACAAATACTGTAACTTTCATTATTTTTGCTATTTTGTTATATCTGAACAAATCAAATATAAATCATAAATCAATCAATTTATCTCCAGTACATTAACAATCGTCATTTCATTTCGAATTCAATTACAAAAAAAATAGTTGCCTAATTTGCACAAAATTGAAAAAGTTCTCCTGTATAGTCACAGTCTAAACGCATTTGCAAATAATTCTTTGCGACATTTTCACTTATACTATGCTTAGCTTGGCGGCATTTTCACATTTTTCAATAGTTTTCACAAAATTGGAAAAGTGCTTCAGTACATAAACAGTCTAAACGCACTTGGGTAAACATTTGCACTAGAGTGGCGCTTAGACTGTGCTTAGCCTGGGTAATTTTGTGAATTTTGAATCCAAAATTACAAAAATATTTTTTGAAAAAAAAATTAGAAACAATATTTTTGCCAAAAGCAATTATTTTGTTGAAACAAGCAGAAAGTTCTTTGAATCATATGAATCGGACGCTTAGTTTTCTAAAAAACTGTAATTTTTTTAACATTTAGCTCTTTATCTCCGAAACCGCTGGGCCTACCTTTGCCAAAAACTAATAACCACTTTTCTCCGTCATTACGAACTGAATGTGTTTTGGATCATACAAATCGGATGTTCCGTTCTCTCAAAAACTCGATTTCTATTTTCTGCACTCTTTGTTCCATAACTCCGTAAGGGCTGGACCTGCCTTTGCCAAAAATTAATCAGCACATGTCTCTATTAATAGGAATCGAATGTTTTTTAAATCATTCAAATCGGTTGATCCGTGCGCCCGAAAACGTGGACGAAAAAATGTTGACATACAAAACGCACACACACACATCCATTTGGTTTCTGCGGTATGCCTGTAAAATGTTCAGAAACCTTCAAAACGTCGAGAAATGTAAATTTTAATTTCGATTTTCGGCCCATTACAATAACTTACCCTACGGGAAGTTAATAAAATAATTCTATATGAACGATTTCTAAGAATCTGCAACGTACGCATAAGAAACCAATCATCTACCACCGAGACCAATATCATCTTTGATTATCAAACTATTTATGACTCGATGATTTGACTTAAAAATTTCGCTTATTTGTTATTTTTTTATTTCAGCTTACGATGCCGCTTCTGTGTTCTGGACCAAGTTGTACAGAAGGATGGAACCATTTTTCTTACACAAGAGGGACTGCGTTAGTTTCAAGAACCAATTGGTGAAGCAGGCGATAGAACATAGTTTCAAAGATAGCATAAAACTAGGACATCAAATTTTATTCGACTATTTCTCTGGAGAATCTTCGAGTAATAGTAGTGAATTTTATAAGACTGATAATGCAACTAATTCTTATGACAGGTAATTAGTTGATTTAACAAATGTGCATGTTGATTTTTTTTCATTATCTTCCCGAAGGAGAAGTTTATGTTTTCATCAAAAAATTCGATTCGCTAATTTTATGTTTTCTCGGCGTTTCAAGCTATTCTGAATCGAATGAGACCAATGATAAAGTATGTGTGAGTAGAATTTTGACCTTTCCACGACGTTTCCTCAAAAACGGCTGGAACGATTTCAAAAATTTAAAAGCCATTCGATGTGTCTTGATGAGGACTATCGTTTCTCAGTTTTGCGCAACGATCGGCCGAGTCGTTTCTTTGTAATTTGCAAAAAAGTTTTCGTTCACATTTTAGCTCGCAATTCTGAATAGATTTTGAAAATTCAAAAACCGTTCGAAAGATTTTGGCTGGGAATCGTGCTGATTAGTTTTTGGTAAAGATCGGCCGAGACGTTTTCTTGGAATAAAGTGTTGAAAATTTTTTTTTCGACGATTTTTATTATTATTTTTTTGACGGTAGATACTATAGTCTTATAGATCATACTAAAATATTACGGTCCTACGACAAATAGTTTAATGTTAAAAATTCATCAAATTTTGCTAAAATTGGCAACGTTTTTTTGGCGTTTGCCAAAATTAGACTTTTCATCGCCGTTTTCTCAAAAACGGTTGAGGAGATTTTAAAAATATAAAAACTATTCTATGAAACTTGATAAGCACTCGCGTCGGTTAGATTTATGATACGATCGGCCGAGCCGTTTCTTTATAATTAGCAGAAAAGTGATAAATTTTCGTCCACGTTTTTGCCAAACAATTCTGAATCGATTTTAAATTTTTCAATGATATTATTTGGGCCTCGTGCTGATTAGTTTTGGACAAAGATCGGCCGTGCCGTTTCTTCGTAATTAACAGTTGAAAAAAAATTTTTGGTGAAACTTTTTATGTTAATAATCTTACGATAAATGCAATATCTAGAATTCTGTTATCATAACTTCATTTCTTGCTTGTTTATATGTAAAATACGCCTGATTGCACAGCAAATAAATAGACATTCTCATAATTTTTATAACCAAGAGAAAGCATAAGAGAGCGTTGCCATGACAACGCTATTTTATGAGCTCTGTTACAGCAGAATTGCTTCCTAAATTTATAAAACTCATCAAAGTTTGAAAAAATATTATAGTTAAAATTTGTATCAGAAGTTGCTTTTGTGATGTGATGAGACAAACATTATGAGTTTATTAAAATTTAGAATAATAAGCTACAATTTTAGGACATACCAGCACGTGTCTGTGCAATATAGTTAATATAATTACAGTTAATTAAACTGAGAAAATTCTATTGGGAATCGAAATTTTTAGATTTAATTGAAAGCATTAAATTTATTTTCGAAATAAACAGCTGACTAATTTTATCTAAATATCTAAATCCCAATTTCATTTGATTAAGTCAATTATTACCTTGCCTTAAGGCTAAATGCCACTTTCAACAAGTTCTTTTTCTCTCCAATTTCCAGATTCATTAGTAGAAAACATTTAGAACTACCCTATCACCATTATCATCTACAAGGCACGGAAAACTTCATAAACTCCGATTATCTCACCACCCACGAATGGATTTACAAGAAACTGTTGACCTGCCAAACATCAGCTCTCCTGGACGACTTAGACCTGGTCAACTCCTCATCATCCAATCAACATCTGACAATCCTTCGAGACTTTTTAACCCTAAACAAAAAACAACTGGATTACGACACCAGACAACTTTATTCTCTACTCGATATTTATTTTGAGAGCAAACAAGATTTTAGCAAAATGAATGGAGTCCATCATGGTCAAGTGGAGATCAAGAGAAAGTTTTCCAATAATGTGGTGCAGAGTTGGTACGAGGCTTGTAAGAAACCACCTGTTTGCACATTGGTGGTGCAGAATTTGGATGATTTGGTTGCTCGTGATGATGACACTAAAGTTGCTGTTGGTTTTACTGCTTTGCAAAGATTGGGGAATGGTGATACTGGTTATGTCACCAGTTTGTCGACAGAGAGGGAAGAAATTTGTGTTTGGGATGTATCCAGGTAAGGGGTAAACAAATCTTATAATCATTAGTAAATCCCTGGTTTTCTATTTCATTTATCTTTTAGGTGCAAGCGAGTCAGGACCCTAACAGGTATCACCCAGCCTCTTTCTTTATGTCCAGTTGATAGCACCAGATGCATAGTTCTTTGTGGACGTGAATTGAGGTTGTTTAATTTGGATTTGGGGTCATCGTTGGTCAAACTTAAGGGTGTCATGAATCAAAAAATGCCGTTTTATGGTCTCCACGATAACGGACATGTTGTCTGCTTGTCCAGGAACAGGATGTATGTTAATTTGATGAATTTGGAGAGCGGTAAGTGATATATTATTAACTTCCCGTAGGGTAGTTATAGTAATGGGCCGAAAATCAAAAATGAAATTTTTTGCATTTCTCGACGTTTTGAAGATTTCTGAACATTTTTAAATGGCATACCTCAGAAACTAAATGCATGTTAGATGTGCTTTTGAGGATAAAAAATTATTACATCTTTGTTTATTTTCCATAAAATATTTTTGTAATTTTGGGTTAAAAATTCAAAAAATTACCCATGCTAAGCACATTCTAAGCGCCACTCTGGTACAAATGTTTTTGCAAGTGCGTTTAGACTGTTTATGTACTGGAGCACTTTTCCAATTTTGTGAAAATTATTGAAAAATGTGAAAATGCCGCCAAGCTAAGCACAGTATAAGTGAAAATGTCGCACAGAATTATTTGCAAATGCTGTTTAGACTGTGACCGTACGGGAGCACTTTTTCAATTTTGTGTAAATTAGGCAACAATTTTTTTTTTTGAAATTGAATTCGAAATGAAATGACGATTGTTAATGTTCTGGAGATAAATTGATTGATTTATGATTTACATTTGAATTCAACTTCTTAGATTGGCGATGTATAAATTAGTAAAATAGAATTTTATTTTTGAAGTAAAACTTCTTAAGTCGCGATGTGATATAGAGTCTGATTTGATTAAACGTAAAAGAGACAACAGTATATAGTGAGAAAATGAGAGAGAGAGATATATATAAAACACTAGTGCTAAAAAGAGCAACATATACCTGACAGTGTAGAGTGACAGAGTAAGATATATGAGTACGATGTGACCACCAAATTTAAGCAAATACCTTTTTAAATGTAAATTTTTGATAAAAGGACAAGAGATACCAATTTTTGTTGTTAATAGAAATTGTAGATAATTTAATTGGCTATAAATTTGCTGAATATTGCAAAATGGTGCGACATTTCGTTTTGAAGTTATAAATAAATAAATAAAAATCGAGCTGGTCCAAAAGTGTGAAGCAAGATGCAACCTCCAAAATTTAACAACAACCTGTTTCATTGCAAATTTAGGGTGAAAGGATAAGAGATACAAATTTCTGTTATTAACAAAAGTTGTAGATAATTTAATTGACTAAAAATTTGCTGGATATTGCAAAACAATCGGACAATTTGTTTAGAAGTTATAAACAAATAAAAATCGAACCGGTCCAAAAATATAAAACGAGATATATTAAAATGTAGCCTCCTCAATTTAACAACAATCATTTTAGTTCTTATAAATGCCGCCAAGCTAAGCACAATATAAGTGAAAATGTCGCACAGAATTATTTGCAAATGCGTTTAGACTGCGACTATACCGGAGCACTTTATCCGAAACCGATTTACCGATTATTATCAAATTTTATATTTGTTTTCAGTAGGTTTAGAATCGTTAACTATCTATTTGTCATACAGCAAAATGATAAGGGTGGCTCACCCTTAATTTTTTTTGTAATTTTTGGACGGAATTTTTCGTTTTTATTTTTTTATAATGTGGCAATAAAAAATATATCCAACCCAAAATTTTTACAATTGTATCACCAACCCCTATTTTTTATAATCATTTTTTTAGTCAAGATTTTTGAGCTTAAAGAAAAAGTTTAAATTTTTCTTTAAAATACAATTTATTATTATTAAGGGTTGTCCAATCCTAATATTTTTTTAATTTTCGGGTCAACTTTTTTTATTTTAATTTTTTTAGTAAAATTCATTAAATTATTATTATTTTTATCGAATATATTATACGACACTTTAAAATATTATTCTAACATTTTTTTTAATTTTGTGACCAATTATTTTAATTTTATATATTATAATTTTAGGTGATTGTGTGACAACTTTCAAAGCCGGCGAAGACAGATTCCTGAATTCTTTACTGGTATCCGGGGACGGAAGGTATTTCTAGCACCATTGCTTTTTTTTAAGTATTTAATAATCTAAAACTTTTATTTCTGCAGAATTTTGGTATGCGGAGACGAAACCCAAAAACCTTTTCCATTACTCGTTTGGCATTTGACTTCAAGGAAACTTTTGTACGATTTGAGGATACCACATCATGATTTTGTGACGTCCTTGGCTGCTATCACATTTGAAGGTAACTTTTAGACAATTACTTCGTAACTAGCTTCATCCAATTTGATGGTGACTTGAAAATTGTATCAATTATTTTTTTAGGTAATTATGTCTGTGTCGTCTGTCGAGAGACAACAGAACCATCTCCCAATTTCATAGTCGTCTACGATTTGCAAAGTGGAACTTTGTTCAAAAAGTGGAAGCCTTTATGTGATACAGTCGCCCTGGAAATTTCATCAGCTGATGGCAGTGTTGTCTCTGGTTTGCAGGACGCCAGAATTCTCGTCTGGGATCTCATTACAGGTAATAATAGAACTATCAAGTTTAATTATTAACTTCTCAAAGGGTAGTTATTAGTAATGGGCCGAAAATCGAAAATGAAAATTTTTGCATTTCTCGACGTTTTAAAGGTTTCTGAACATTTTTAAGGGGCATACCTCAGAAACTAAATGGATGTGTGTGTATATGTGTGTTTTGTATGTCCGCATTTTTAGTATTAAAAAAGGGACCTACTGACGAGCAAACTAATCTAGAATTAAAAAGGGACTCTACTGACGAGCACATTAGTCTAGAATTAAAAAAGGGACTCTACTGACGAGCAAACTAATCTAGAATTAAAAAGGGACTCTACTGACGAGCACATTAGTCTAGAATTAAAAAAGGGACTCTACTAACGAGCAAATCGGTCTAGAATTAAAAAAGGGACTTTACTGACGAGCAAACTAATCTAGAATTAAAAATGGGACTCAACTGACGAGCAAATTAGTCTAGAATTATAAAAGGGACTCTACTGACAAGCAAACTAGTCTAGAATTTAAAAAGGGACTCTACTGACGAGCAAAGTAATTTAGAATTAATAAAAGGACGCTACTGACGAGCAAAAGCAAAAATATATAAAAGGGGACTTTACTGATGAGCAGACGAGTATTTCAGTTTGCTCGTCAGTTTATATAATGCAAAATATAGTTTGCTTGTCAGTAGAGTCCTTTTTATTTTCATGTCTGGTAAAATACAGTTGATGATGAAAAATACTAAATACAAAAATTCAAAAAATTACCCAGACTAAGCACAGTCTAAGCGCCACTTTGGTACAAATGTTTACCCAAGTGCTTTAGACTTTTTTTGTACTGGAACACTTTTCAAATATTTGGTCAAATATGCAGATTGTTGGCCGTAATTGTCAAAACTTTTTATTTTTAGTAAAATCTGTACTTTTTTGGTCATCACTCTATATTATTCATCAAAATTGTAGATTTTTTGTTAACATTCTAGATTATTGGTCAAAGCTGTAGATTTTTCATCAAAATTGTAGATTTTTGTTAAAGCTGTAAATTTTTGGACCAAACTGTATTTTTTGGACAATACCCTAGATTTTATGATTAAAATCGTAGATTTTCAGTCAACATTTTTTATCACAATTGTCAAATCTGCATATTTTCAGTCAAATCTACATTTTTGGTCAGCACTCCAGACAGTTTATCAAAATTGTACGATTATAGTCACGTGACTCGAACTAAGCGTCCGATTTGAATGATCTAAAAACTTTCTGCTTGTATTGACAAAACAAGGATAAAAATTATTACATTTTTTTCCTATTCCCCATAAAATATTTTTGTAATTTTGGATTAAAAATTCAAAAAATTACCCAGGCTAAGCACAGTCTAAGCGCCACTCTGGTACAAATGTTCACCCAAGTGCGTTTAGACTGTTTCCGTTTCCGGAGCACTATTCCAATTTTGTGAAAACTATTGAAAAATGTGGAAATGCCGCCAAGCTAATCACAGTATAAGTGAAAATGTCGCACAGAATTAGTTGCGAATGCGTTTAGACTGTGACTATACGGGAGCACACGGGAAATTAGTCAACTTCAGATTTTTTGTCAAAACTGTAGATTTTTATTTGAAATTGCAATTTTTTGTCAAAACTGTAGATTTTTTGTCAAAACTATATTTTTGGTTAAGTTGTAGGTTTTCGATCAAAACTGTAGGTTTTTGGTCTAAACTACAGCTTTTTGATTAAGTTGCAGATTTTTAGTTAAAACTGTAGCTTTTTGGTTAAAACTGCAAATTTTTTGTCAAAACTTTACATTTTTTATCAAAACTGTTTTGGGTTAAACTCAGGGTTTCGGTCAAAACTATAATTTGGTCATAAAGATTTGTGGTATAAATCGTAGATTTTTGATCAAAACTGTAGCTTTTTGGTTAAAACTGCAGTTGTTTGATCAAAACTTTAGATTTTTGGTTTAAACTGTATTTTTTGGTTGAGTTCAGGTTTTTTGTCAAAACTGTAACTTTTTGGATAACTAAAAGTAGCTTTTGGTAATTTTTTTGGTTTAAACTGCAGGGTTTCGGGCAAAACTGCAAATTTTTGGTCAGCACTGTAGATTTTGGCCAAAACTGTATTTTTTGAGTGAAAATACAGATTATTTGTCAGAGCTTTTTGATCAAAACTGTATTTTTGGTTAAAACTGTAGATTTTGGTCAAAATTGTAAATTTTTAAACAAAACTGTACATTTTTGGTCAGCACTCCAAATTATTTATCAAAATCATACGATTTTGGTCACGTGACTCAATTCAAAATTTTACTACCAATTCTCAATCCCCTTTAAGAAGTTTTACTTCATCCACTCTCTTCGCTATGCCATTGATACTTCGATATTTTGTGAAGACTATTGAAAAATTTGAAAATGCCGCCAAGCTAAGCACAGTATAAATGAAAATATCGTACAAAATTATTTGCAAATGCATTTAGACTGTGACTATACGGGAGCACTTTTTCAATTTTGTGCAATTTGGAAACTATTTTTTTTGTAATTGAATTCGAAATGAAATGACAATTGTTAATGTTCTGGAGATAAATTGATTGATTTATGATTTACATTTGATTTGCTCAGATATAACAAGATAGCAAAAATAATGAAAGTTACACTATTTGTAATAATATATTTGAAAACGTTTAAAATTTCTCGAATATTTCATTACGGTACGTGAAGTTTCAGCAATTTACCTTAAGGCACGATGCCATACACCACTAGTTTTTTTTTTCGTTATCTTTT